CGCAGGAACACAGGGCCTGGGGGTAAAGCCGCAGGGAGAGCATTTGCTAACAGAGGTGCTGGGGTCACTGACTCCACCCCTCACTAACCTCAGCCAGCAGGAAAGACCCATTCTGGCTGCACCCTGGCCTATTTCAGCTCCCCTCCCCCATTGACTGCCCTGCCACATGACACCCCCACCCTCCCCCAAGCCACAGCATAGTAGGCTGGGAGGCACAGGCTCAGCCCAGAGCCTGGCTCCACAGTAGACACTGGCAGTCTCCAAAGTAGGCAACTGGCTCCTGCCAGCTGGGCCTGGCGCTGGGCTGTAAATATCTGTCCTGCCCCCTGGTAACCAATGTTCCCTCTAATTTTTTCCACCCATGTGCAGAATAAATGTTCTGTGCACCGAGGCATGTGCGGATGTGCACCCCCAGGAGAAACACTTGCTGCTGCTGGTGGGAGCTGGGGGCGTGCGCTGCTCAGCTGGGCAGCCCCTGGGCAGCCTCCCACACACTCAGCTTCTAGGAACACAGCCTGGAACTGCCATCGTGCATAAATATAATTAGTCCTGGGTTGGATGGAGCCTGCGGCAGGAGTCCTGGCCCCAGTCCGCCCCCTCCAGCGCTGGGAAGGGCCCTGAAGAAAGGCACCAAGTAGCTCTTGCCCCTTTCCCTTGTTTCTTCCAGCCGGGCCCAGCCCCAAACCAGCTGCAAGGGGCTGGGGAAGGTGCTGCCTGTTGGCCTGGTGCTGAATCTGCCAGCAGCCGCCAGCCCTGCCACAAGGGGCAGATGGAGCCAGCAGCTCCCCCAGCCCTGGGGAGTCAAAGATCCCAGCCTGTGGGCGAGGCACTGGAAGGGAAGCGCCACACAAGCTACTCCAGAGGGAGGGGGGAAGGGCTGAGTCAAAGCCAGTTCTTGCTTTGAGCCCCAGGCAGGCTCCTGCAGGCCTGGGGTTGGCCCTGCTCCCTGCCCCAACCCAAGCTGAGCAAACTCACCTGGAGCCATCCCGAGCTGAGCAGCCCTGGACCCACCATGGCCAAAGCCAGCCCTGGCCCAGTTCCTACACTGAGCTGCCACTTGCACTGCCCTTGCTGAGTGCAGGGACAGCAACGCGCCTGCAAAGCCAAGCAGGAGGCAAAGCAAAGCAGCTCCCTGTGCCAGTGCAGGCGTGTGCCTGCTTTCCAGCGGGCCCACAGCTCGCCCTGCTGCATGGAAGGGCTCAGCTGGGCTGGTCACAGCGAGCCTAGACTAGATTTTCCGGAAAAATTGGCCAGTCTAGACACAGCCATGGAGTTGGTTGGAAAAGCCATGGAGTTGGTTGGGAAAAGTTCAGACAAGGGCAACAAAAATGATGAGGGGTTTGGAATGGCTGCAGTCTGAAGAGAAATAAAATAGGACTTTTCAGCTTAGAAAAGAGAAGAGTAAGGGGGCAGGATGCCACAGAGGTCTATAAAATCATGACTGGTGTGGAGAAAGGAAGTAAGGAAAAATGATTTACTTGTTCTCATAACACAAGAACTAGGGATCACCAAGTGAAATCAATAGATAGCTAACAAAAGGAAGTATATCGGCACACAGGTGTTAACCTGTGGGACTCCTTGCCAGAGGATGTGTGTAGACCAGGACTTTAACAAGGTTCAAAAAAAACCTAGATAAATTCATTGGATGATCTATTAATGGCTATTAGCTGGAGTGGGTAGGAATGGTGTCCCTAGCCTAGTCTGAAGAGAAATAAAATAGGACTTTTCAGCTTAGAAAAGAGAAGAGTAAGGGGGCAGGATGCCACAGAGGTCTATAAAATCATGACTGGTGTGGAGAAAGGAAGTAAGGAAAAATGATTTACTTGTTCCCATAACACAAGAACTAGGGATCACCAAGTGAAATCAATAGCTAGCTAACAAAAGGAAGTATATCGGCACACAGGCGTTAACCTGTGGGACTCCTTGCCAGAGGATGTGTGTAGACCAGGACTTTAACAAGGTTCAAAAAAAACCTAGATAAATTCATTGGATGATCTATTAATGGCTATTAGCTGGAGTGGGTAGGAATGGTGTCCCTAGCCTCTGTTCATCAGATGCTGGGAATGGGTGATGAGAGGGATCACTTGACAAGTCCCTGTTCTGTTCACTCCCTCTGGAGCACCTGCCATTGGTCACTAGTGGTAGATAGGATTCTGGGCTGGATAGACCCTGATCTGACTGAGTGTGGCTGTTCTTATGGAGCCAGAGCTGCACACAACTTGGCTAAGGCCTGCAGGAAACACCTGTGCACAGCTGGCCCTCTGCTGGACAAACACCCCAGGAACATGGAACAAGACCCAGCCACGATTTATTAATAGCCAAAGCCCACAGTGCTCTCAGCAGCAGCTTCCCCTGCATGTGACTCCAGCCAAGCACCCCAGCCCATGGTCCCAGTGCCCATAGTGAACACAGGGAGACGGCAGCTCCACAGCCAACAGCTTCTTTCACCCCAGGGTCCTCTCGCTCCCTAACTGTTCTAGTTGCATCATTTCCCTCCATGCCCGCCCCGGTCTGGCCCCTACCCCCCACGTGGCCCTTGCAGCACACACCAGTCTGCAGAGCAGCCAGCAGCCTCCAGGGGGAAGCTCCTCCAACACGGATCATGGAAACTGCACCCACTGAGCAAGTAGAGCAGGAGGGGGGGTAGCCAACAGGTGAAATTTCACTGCCAAACATCCAGGCTTGTCCACCTGTAGGGTGCATGCCAGGCCCTGCTGTCTTGGGCAAGCTAGGTGGGGCCCACCCTGGAAAGAGAAGAGCAACCAGTAAGAACGCTCCTTTCAGGAAAGCCCCGTGGCCCAGTGGGGTAATTTTCCCCACCCAGGGCTATGGCAGTAGGCAAGGCAACAACAACAGAGCTCCTGGCCTTCCCCCGCCAGGCCCCGAGCCACTACGAGCACGTGGTCTATTTGCAGCAGGTGGCCAGTGGAGCGGACGCGGCCCAGCAGCACCACTGTCACTTTCAAACTCTAGTCGCCTAGAAAGAAATCTGGAAATTTAATCCACTTGTTTTTAAGTTACAGAAGTTTTAATAAAAACCTCTTCTGAGTTAAATACGAGAGACTCGGTAACATCTCGCCTCGGAGCAGCAGGCACAGGGAGCCCCTTCCAACCTGCCTTCACGTGGGCCCCAGAACCTGCAGGCTGCCGTGAGGTACAAGGGCAGACGTTCCCCAGGCCAGGGTGGAGCCTGCTCCAAGAGCAAAGAAGCTGCATCAAGGTGCCCCAGAGCCTGGCACCCGTGTAGGACTAGGTCCCACAGCCCCAGCTTCACTGTGACTGGTGCTTGTGTTAACGCAGGGCTGCCTGGCCACACTGCACTAACACCCCCAATTGCAGGGCAAACAGACCCTGCTCCCTAGCTGTGCAGACAGCTGCATCCTGCCTCAGAGCCTGTCAGTCGCCATCTCCCAAGTACGGGGCACCCAGCCCTGGGCAGCACAACACGGGTGCATTGGCCGTCTGTGCAAACGTAGGCAGCTCGGCCCCATCTCCCTGCTGGGGGGGACAACCTGCGCCACTTACAGGCCACACTAGGGCACCAGCAACTTGGCTCCAATGATCCTCGGTCTTCCTGCTACCTTGCCAAAGCCCAGCTCCGTGGCCAAGCCAGGGCTTCTCACCCCACCTCTGCTGCCAGAGGCCGCAGGCCAGGCCCCGCCTGTCAGTAGTTTGTTGCTACACCAGTTGCCCAGGAGGTACGTGGATCAGGCTGCAGCAGCATTAATCTGTCACCCAGACATACACACCCCAACACAGAGAGGCTGGGCCCAAGTCCGTTAGTTGGATGAGAGGGGGACATGCTAGGGCCCAAGCTTGCAGCAGTTTGAGATTTGCCCAGGTCGGTCCCCCATGACTCACTGGGGATGGGTTAGGGCATCAGACACCGCCCCTCCCCCCAAGTGCAGCTGGGTCACACCCAAGGCTGCCTTCAGTGAACCCAGCAACAGCCAGGAGGGGGCGGGGGGAGACATCTGCCAGCACATAAAGGGCTGAGCCAGTAGCTCTGCCCTCCCTACCTTCTGGGCTGAACGCAGCTAAGTTCTCCCATGGTCTGGGCAGCAGCAGCAAGGCACACAGGAGTAACTAGTGAGGCAAATGCAAGGGGTGCGCACAATGCAGCGCACGGCCCAGCCACTCCACAACATCAGTGTCATGCTGCCCGACGGGGCCTCCTTACGCAGCCCGCCCACGCTGGGAAGGGCACTGACATGCTGGGGGACACAGAGCTCCACTCACAGGCCTCCAAAGCTCCCCTGGCAAAGGCTGCCCTGCACGCAAGCAGCAGTCAGCGCTACATGGCTGCCCCAGGCAGGCTGGGTGTCCGAGCAGGGGTGGGTAGCTTGCTGCCTGGCCTAGGGCAGCTGTTGGGGTCTCTGCACGGAGCATACCCCCCAGACAGCAGCAAAAGATGCTGGCAAAGCTGCAACCGCAGGCAGCTCCTGGAGCCTGTTTCCACACCCCTTGCGCCAGAGGGACTTGGCTCTCCGAAGTCGCTGCTGGGCACAGGCCCCTCACAGCTCAGCCTGGTCCCCAGCATTCAACGCTTGCCTGGCCGCTGCTGGGGGTGAAGCCGCTGCTCAAAGCAACCAGGCCAGCATCAGTGCAAGCCCAGTGAGAACTGCCTAAGGCCCAGAACGCAGCCCAGCTGCTAGGGCCTGAGCCCAGCCCCTTGCTCACCAGACACAGGCCAGCAGAGGGGCCCAGCCTGCACCTGCCTGCCAACAGCCCAGGTTGGGGGAGGGGTGATCGCCCCCTCACTTGCCGCAGTCCAGGACAGGGGTGGGGAGATTGCCAGGAGAGCGGAGTCTCGGCCCCCATGCAGACAGACCTACACTACGCTGACACTAGTGCGCACGGACCCACTGCCAGGGGCACCCAGGAGACGTTCACAGTAGTAGGCCACTAAGAGCACAGTCCTTGGCACCACAGTGCATGGCTCTCGCCCCTGGGCAGCATCAACACACCCTGCTCCAATGGGTGGGAAAGAGCTCAGGTCGCAGCTCCAGCCGCACCGCTCACAGGCTGTTCCTTGGGACCCCAAGCCGGACACCCCAGCACCAACAGCCTCTGCCGAGCACCCAGCCAGAACCGATGCTATGGGCAGGTGGCAGGTCTTGGCTGTGGCCACCCCCCAGGGCGAGCCCAGTCTTGGATCATGCCCCACTCACAGACACCAGGAGGAGAAAAAGGCACCAGGGCAGGGGTAGATTTCCCAGACAGGCTCATTTCTGCAAGGTGGCTGGGGCAGCTCCCAACAAAGGCCCAGCACCAGCCAGGGGAGACTGATCGCGTGTGGGCATCTGCCAAGTAGAGGAAGGCCTGACCACAGCAGAGGAACTGCCTGAAAACCTGGCGCCTGCCTCGGCCCTCCGCAGGGCCCAGAGCACAGACAGGCAGGACAGCACAGGCCAGGCTGAGCCCACCCAAGCGGAGCTCCCAGGGGACAGTGCCATGAAACATCAAGTAAATGTAGAGCGCAGCCAGCCCCATGGGCTGAGATCAGCCGGGAGACTTCACGCCAGGCCTGCAGGGGAGCTGCCCAACAGCCAGGCCAGGGAGCCTCTGGCTGCTGCAAGGGGCCTGGCAAGTTGAAGAGGCCAAGCCCAAGTCCTGCCAGTAACGAGAGGCTGAACGCGAGACCAGGGCCCAGATGACACTGCCACAAAGGCTCAGCACAGTCCTTAGGGTGGATGCACCCGCTGAAAAGGGCTCAGCATGAGAATCCAGCAGCACATGCAGTGCCCAGCCCCCAGGCCAGCAGCAGCCCAGCTCAGGGGACACCAGCTCGGAACAGCTGGCAGAAGGTGTCCAGGAATATTCAAGTAAAAGGCAGGGCCCACCCACTGGCACCCGCTACTGCGAGAGTGATTGGTCAAGCAGCTTCAAGACTCCGCCCACCAAGTGCAGGCTTCCCGTGACCAGCACGCGGATGGCAGCTGCTTCCTGGAGCAAGACGGCGCCACTCCCAGCCACGGGGTGTAGGTGGAGCCCCTTGGTGGCAGGTGCCTGGAAGTGCGGGTCCCTCCCCTGGGTGATCCACTGCAGGGCGTGGGAGATACAGGGGAAGACCAGCGAGTTGGAGTTGAGAGGGCGCTCGGCGGTGGGCACGAAGAGCAGGGGGCTGCGCAGAGGGTCAGGCTTCAGCAGCCTGCCCACCCCCTCCACCTGCATGGGGTGCGACAGCCAGGGGTCCTGCCCCACTTTCTCCTCCATCAGCCCGTTCCACTGCTTCTGGTTCTCCAGGCAGCGGGTCAGCACGTTCTCCAGGGTGACGTTGAAGTTCTGTTGGTCTGCAAAGGGGAGAGTGAGCTGCCATCCAAGTAGCCTTGTGCATGGCCCCTCCCCGTGAGGAGGGGCAGGCAGCTGGGGTGGGGGGGCGGGCACCAAGCCAACGTGCACACCCCCATCCAGCAAACCCAACCCTCCAGAGTAGACGGGGCACAGACAAGAGGGGACTCGGAACAGGACAACAGGGAAGAGCCGTGGAGCCAGCAGAGGAATCCGCAACCCCAGACCTGGCTGTGTGGGGCCAAGAGGTGGGGTGACAGTGGGGCGACGGTGGGGCGGGTGGGGGGAAGGGCCTGCAGAAACAGCACAGGCATCCCCAAGAACCCAGGACACCGTGGACCAACCAGCGCTGCTGACATGGTACAAGCAGAGCAGGAATCCACAAGAGACTCCAACTCCCTGCAGAAAAGTCCAGTGAGGAGGGTTTTAGGCCTTGAGCCAACCCGTGCCTGTGAGGCAGGAATATTCCCACCTAGGGACATTCCTGCCCCAGGGCTAGCGCCCGAGCAGACTCCCAGCCGACCCAGCCCACCCCCAAGGTACTGACCCGCGTTGCCCACCGCAGACACCTCCGTGAAGTTGGGGCAGAAGACAGCGTAGTCGAACTGGCAAGGCTGGGGCACAAGAGAGAGCGTCAGCACAACGATCCAGGCCAGCCAGTGGCTGGGTACTGTAGCCATGGGCAGCCCGTTGGGGGGGCGGGGAGGGGAGAGCCGCAAAGGAGAAGGAGGGTATGGCAGCAGGAGGGGGAAGGACCTGGGCTACTGGCTCAGCATCAGGCATTATTTCTGCTGGAGCACTCTAGCCAGGACGCCTGGGTCCTATTCCTGCAGGGGCTATTGGGCAAATCCACTGGAAACCGCCCCCTCCCATTTTCACTTCTGCCACTAACAGGGCAAATCCAGACACCCTCCTCCCCCCCATGCAGGGAGGCCAGGGAAGGGTTGTTACAGCAGCAGCAGCTGACAAGAGCAGGCACTAGCACCACTTGGTGGCGCCCTGCGGTAGGTGTCCAAATAAGAGAAGACAGACCCTAAACAGCCAGGCGGGTGCCGGGGAAGGGGGCAGCCCCCATCTGGGCCAGGCCATGTGACTCCAAGCCCGCCCAGCAACGCAGAGCCCCCCATCAGCTCCCGCCCGAGGGAAGAGGCCGGCGATACCCCATGGCACGGAAAAGGAAAAGTGGGAAAATACCCAGCCCAGGTCGGTGCAGAGCTGGGAACAGAACCCAGGAGTCCGGGCCCAAGCGGGATGCTGGCAGCCTTGGAACCCACAGGCACCATCCATAACCACCCTCCTCCACCTCCAACACGTGAGCGGCTCTCTTCACAGGGTCCAGCAGCCGCCTCCCCCGCCCTCACAAACGCACCTGCCCGGCCTGGCTCCAGCCCCCACCCCCTGGCTGTGCCTTGGGGCAGTGCCTGACACCAGACAGTCTCACCAGCAGCAGCTTGAGCAGAGCAGCCGCGTCCCGGTCTCCTGTGGCGTTGAAGAGAAGCACCCGGACCTCGGAGCCACTGCAGACGAGACAGGACCAGCTCAGTCAGCTGGGAGGGAGAGGGGCGCCTATCACTCTCACCTCACTCTGGTGCTGGCTACTACCACCTCGGATGGCCCAGGAAGTCCAGCAACCCTGACCAAAGGCCTGGCCCACACTCAGCAGGACAGGTGGGCCCTCTTCCCACCCCACCCAATGTCCTGGGACCACGCAGGGTGCAGAGAGAAAGCCTCCATCCTTCTCCTCACGTACGTCCCCTTCAAGACAAGGTCCCCCCTCAACAGGGAAAGGCAGGCGCTGCTCGCACTGCAGCCGTGGCATGGCTGATGGGCAGGACTGAAGTTGGAGTTGGTCCTGCTTTGGGCCAACTGGACTCCATGACCCACTGAGGTCTCCAGCACTAGGATCCCCCTAGATAGGCCACAGGAGCTCGCTCTCCATCCAACAGGCCCCTCTCTGGGAAAGCCTCGCGCAAGGCTGCGACCGCAGAGCGGCCACTCTCCCTCCCCGCGGCTCAGGCTCCTTACTCCACCGGCTTCTCCTTGTTGAGGGCTGCCTGGCGGAACCAGCGCACGCAGGCCTGCACGCTGCTGGTGGTGTGAGCCCCGTCGATGTACCACGTCACCGCCCCGTGCTGCAGCACCTGCGTGCGGCCCAGCCACTCCGTGTCCTGCAAACCTGGGGGGGAGAAGGGGCCGTGAGCGGGGAGAGGCCCACCCGGCCTCCCTGCTACTCTGGACGGGACCCAGCACGCCAGCCCCCAGTGTTCCCACCAGCTACCAGGAGAACTAAGCTGCGCAGCACGAGGGGAGGAGGGACTATGGGACCAGAGACCAGGGGGCTGGGGTCCAGGGCAGACCTGGCTCAGCAATGGATGGGGACGGGCCTGGGGGCAGGCTGGCTGCACTGCGACCAGCACCTCGGTTTGCGCAGCCCACCTGGAGCCATTCCTTCAAGGCCTCCCCTCCCCCCGCCAGGCTCCCCTTATTCCAGTACCAAGCTCCCCAGAGCCCTGTGGCAGCCCAGCCTGCTGCCCCTCCCCTGAGGCAGCCACAGCAGCCAGCCTCACCAGTTCTAGTGCCGGCTGCGGGGCACCAGCCCTGCCAGAGGCAAGGAGCCAGACAGTGACCCACAGCAGTGGGGCGAGAGCGTGACCTTTGCCAGCAAACTGCGGGGGAAATGCCCAACATGGGAGGCTGGGGATGGACAATCACCCTCCGCACTTGCTGGCAGCCCAGGAGGCACCAGGCTCTTAAGGGTTAAAACTAAGGAACAGGAAGCATTGAAGGGCAGCAGGGCCTGGGCCTCGTGAGTGACACACATCAGGCTGGGGGCACCAAAGGAGCAGCAGGGCGGGACACACCCACGTCCTTACCTTGCACCATAGAGCCACTGGGCCTGAACACAGGTGCCAGGGGCACAGATCTCTTGCGCAGTAGCTCAGCACCTGGCTGCAAATCCTTCAGCTCCTCAGTACCTGCAAGGAGATGGAAGTGGGGCTGAGTCACCGTCCAAAGAGCCCCCACAGCCGCCGGTAGCCCCGTCACCTGCCCTTCACTCCTCACATGCAGACTCCAGGCAGCTGGGGGAGCCACCCGGCATAGGTGCCCGAGGAACCAGGGGGCTGATTTCAATCAAAGCTTAGTGGAAATAACTGAGTGGAAAACCTCAGATCAAAAGGTCAATTTTAAATCCAGGTTTTGATTTGTATTTCAGTTCTTTTCTGGAGAAAGGTGCATTGTCCTGGACTGAAACAAGACTTAAAATGGGGCAATTTACAGCTAAAAGGAATGTTCACACTCGATTTGGTACCTTCCTTTGCTCCGCAGGTGAGAACACTGGGCCGCACACATTTAAGCAACAATATAGCCTAATACTTTCAGATTCTTGTCAATTGTACATTTTTTGTACATTAGAAAACGCTCTATTGCTTATGGCCCAGATACAGCAGATCCTCAGCACTATGAATGCTTTGGGAACAGAGGGTTGCTGAACTCTGAATACGTCAGGGCTGTTCTTTCAAAAGTTAACAGAACATTGACATAATCCACTTTTGAAACGGCTGGTTTCCCCTTTTCTCAGTAGCGCACGTCACATGGTTCTGTTCTGTGTTCGTTTCTGCTGCCTCCTGGGGACGACCGGTCAATTTGTAACTCTGAGCTTCCACTGCAATTAACATTTCGCTCATCTGTGTCAAGCTGCATTAGGCTGGTAACTGGAATTTCACAACACAAACTAGCGTAGGAGGCTTGAACAAAACCACCTTCCATGTTTTGGATACATAAACTTCAGTGAGCTGGAGAGTAAGTCTGAGGTGGGTGGAATCATAAATATTCATAATTTGAGAACAAAGCCCATCTGAGCTCAGAGCTGGAACATCCAGAGGGCTCCCGGCGGTGTCTGCTGGAGGCAGATGCTGGGTCCCAGCCCATGTGACAGTCGCCCCCCAGGCGTACAAACAAGTATTCTGTATTAAATCCATATTTCATTTTAAATATTTGTAAAAAGAAAAAAGCCTTAGAATTCAAACTACCCCAAGGGTCCCACAGCCCTCCCCAGCGGGGTGGCCCCTTCGTTCCCAGCATGGTGGTGACTTGCTGGCCTGTCTCTGCAGACTGAGAGCTCTCCCCATCAAGTGCTAAGGGGCTGGCTCCCAGCCCAGGCTCCTCAGGTCACCGGGGAAACACCAACCAGGGTCTCCAGGGACGTGGCTGGAAACACGAAGCTGGGGGTGCGTCACATGCCAGGCTCTGGGAAGCTCTGCCCAGCAGCGCCAGGCTGAAGGGTCACATGCTGCATCACAGCCCCCTGCCCGGAGCCCTGCGAGCACACGCACTGAAGCGCAGCCCAGGCACAGCTCTCCCAGTGCCCTTATCGAGGAACAAGAGCAGGGCTGGGATGCGCCGTCCAGTGTGAGGAGAGGGGGCCCCAGCCCCCCATTCCCCTCCCCCACGCACTTACCCTGATAGCCCTGCTGCTGCAGCCAGGCCCGCGAGAGCTGCAGGGCCAGAGTGGCATTCGATCGCTGGTGTTCACCCGCCAGCCCCAGCTGCAGAGCCTTAGCGACCTCTTCAAAGGCATCCAAGTCGGGGCACAGGTAAAGTGGGCACTGCACAGAGCCAGGGGACAGAGGGTGAGCAGCTGGCCAAGACCCTCCAGCTGGGTCTGCAGCAACTGAGGCCACCCCAGGGCCCTGGGCTGACACTCATGGGCCAGCATGTTGCCACGTGCAGACAGACCCCGAGGGGCGCTGGCACCAGCAGCACCCACACCCAGCTGCTGCAGAGGAGAAACGTGAGAGCCCCGGGATCACAGACCCTGCAAAGGATCCAGCGTGAGCAGGGCCGCAGGACCCTGACCCTCTCCTGGGAAGAAGGAAGGGTCTGGTGAGATCTTGGGACACAGGCCCCGGCCAGCACCATCCAAAGGGGTAGGCACCAGCTGGCATATGGAGTGGGTGCAGCTGGGAGAGTCGCCTGCTCGGACGCAGGTGGGCCCAGTGACAGCAGAGAGGAAAGGAGGCTGCAGCTGAGGTGTTCACCGGGCTCTGCTTGGCTCGCTCCCTCAGCACCTCCAGGGGCCGCTCCGGCTGCAGCACCGTGAACGCAGGCACCCCAGGCTGAAAGCAACGCAGAGAGTCATGGGTCTGGCTTCAAGGCCCCTCATTCCCACACCAACAGCAGGACTCCAGGGACAGGCTGCGGGGCAGGGGCAGATCCCGACACTAAGGGGTGAGCTGGGACCCTCACTCAGACTCAGAGTTTGCCTCTTAGGTGGGCTCCACCCCCATGCTGCCCTGGCTTGGGATCAGCCTCCTATGTCAGGGAGTTCACTTGCCAGCCGTGGCCAGGAGCTGAAGCTGTCGTGGCAAAGAGCTGCTGTCCTGCTAAGCCAGGATTCTGGACCAGCCCCATCCAAGACCCCATCATGCCCCCTGCAGTCTCGACCCTACCTTGAAGATGCCCCCTTTCTGCCAGGCGATTTTTTCAATGGTGTCCCCCAAGATGCTGGTGTGGTCGATCCCCAGCGAGGAGACCCCACACACAATGGGCTTCCTAGAGACAGAGAGAAGCTGAGCGCCCCGTGCCAGGAGCTAGCGCCCAGGACACCCCAGATCTCAGGGCACCAGCTGGGCTGATGGAAACAGCACAGAGCCAGGCCCAGCACAGCTGGAAGCCCCTTTCGCCACAGGGACAGTGAATGGCTTCCCTGGCCAAGCATCCCCACCAGTCACTAGCACTGGGCCCCTGTGTCAGAAGGGTCAAGAACTATCATAGAACCATAGAGCTGGAAGAGACCTCAGAAGGTCATCAAGTCCAGCCCCCTGCTCTAGGCAGGACCAATCCCAACTAAATCAACCCGGCCAGGGCTCTGTCAGGTCATTAATAAAAATGTTGAACAAAGCAGGTCCTAGAACAGATCCTTGTGGTACTCTGCTAGAAACTGACCACCAACCTGGCGTGGAGCCACTGATCACTACCCGTTGGGCCCGACAGCCTAGCCAGCTTTCTATCCATCTTACACTCCATGTATCCAATCTACACTCGCTTAACTTGCTGGCAAGTATATTGTGGGAGACCGTATCAAAAACTTCGCTAAAATCAAGGTATATCACATCCACTGATTTTCCCATATCCACAGAGCCAGTTACCTAATCATAGAAGCTAATCAATTGGTCAGACACGACTTGCCCTTCATGAATCCATGTTGACTATTCCTGATCACTTTCCCCTCTTCCAAGTGCTTCAAAATGGATTCCTTGAGGATCCCCTCTGATTTTTCCAGGGACTGAGGTAAGACTGACTGATCTGTAGGTCCCTGGATTGTCCTTCTTCCCTTTTTAAAGATGGGCACTACATTTGCCTTTTTCCAATCATCCGGGATCTCTCCCGATCTCCATGAGTTTTCAAAGATAATGGCCAAAGGCTCCACAATGACATTTGCCAACTCCCTCAGTACCCTCGGATGCATTAAATGACCAATTCCCCTGCTCAGGGTCTCTCTGCTCCGGGAAGAGCCAGTGGCCTCCACACACCAGTGTCACACAGAGGCACCCAGTCTGTCACCCAGTCTGCTCCTACCTGATGATGTTGGTGCAGTCATAGGCACCCCCGATGCCAACTTCCACCACAGCCAGATCCACCTGGAGAAGACACAAGGGAATGTTAAGGGGCCTGTTGCCTCCCTGCCTAAACTGCAGGAAACAGACTGACCCGTGGCACAGCCCTGGGCAGGGACAGGCGGCTCAGCACCCTTGCGCAGTGTACGTCCTACTTGCAGCACCCTCTAGAGCAGTGTTTCTGAAAGTGCGCCGCAAAATCACTTTGAGAAACACATTAACTGGCCGCCCCAGTTTGTTTATTTACTGGCGCCGCGGCCATGGAGCCTTGCGGCTCCCATTGGCTCCGTTTCGTCCTTTGCAGCCAAGAGGAGCCAGCCAGTAAATAAACAAACCGGGGCATCCAGTAAGTGTGTTTCTCAAAGTGATTTTGTGGTGCACTTTCAGAAACACTGCTCTAGATGCACGGGACCTCCGCTTGAACAGAGGGGCAGGGACAGGCAGGCAAACATCACTAGAATGCACAGGGACCCGAGACTGCAGCCAGCACGTGTCCAAGAGAGCATGAACCAAGGACTTTCAGCTCTACACGTGCGGGCCTCTGCCCTTGGGAGGCTAAGGGAGACGCTCCACTGCCTCGCAGCAGTATTACAGCTTTTACCCCATAGGCTGCAGCCACTAGGGGGCAAAAGTCACACACACAGGCAGTTACAAATGGGCGAATCCCACGACTCTCCTCCCAGGTATCCCAGGGAACAGAACCAGAAAAGGAGATAAATCACGTAGGAAAGACGAGGTTCCTGTTCTGTCCTGGGGCAGATGGCTGGCTGGAACAGGGGCCAGAGAAGGACAAGGCCCAGGGCTCCAGGGGCCAGAGCCCCACCACTCTCACCTAGGGGGCTGCAGCCACTTGGCACCTGGGGGCACTGGCTGGAACTTGGGCGAGTGCCATACCTTCTCCTGCAGGAAGACGTGGAAGGCCATGATGGTGAGGAAGCGAAAGTAGGCAGGCATGCTGGTGTGGCCGGGGTCCTGCAGGACAGACAGTTACCGGAGGGGACTAAGGGACAGCAGCTCTACCCCAGCCCCACTGCTATGCCACAGCCAACTACTGCCCTGAGCCTCCTCCCTGCGCTGCAGGGGCCATCCCAGTCCCACAGGGCAGGAGCAGGCAGACGGCACCTCTAGAGCCCAGCTCATCTGAGAGATTTACACAGCTTCACCACGCAGCTGGGGGAACCAAGTGGCCCAAGACGCCCAGCATGGCCGAGGTGGAGTAGAACAAGGGGGACTCAGCTCTAAGTGCTAGATAACCCGCCCAAACCAGGCCCCACACTCAGCCAGCCTGGGGCCAGCCACCTGACCCCCAGATTCAGTGACTGTACCCCCCCAGGATGATGCCCTTGGCATGGTCACAGGTACACTCCTGCCAAGGAACAGAAGCCCTGACTCCTCACCCAAGCTCTGGGAGGCAACTGTGGCTTACACCCTCCTAAGACAGCAACTGCCCCCTTCCCAAGCCCCACAGCACGCACCTTGGTCTCCTCCAGCCGGTTATACACTTGCCAGAAGTACTTGCTGAAGAGCTCCTTGCTGATTGGCTGCCCGTTGATGCGGATCCTCTCACGTACCTGGACCAGGTGGGGAGAGCTGGGGCGACGGGAGAACACGCAGTCAGCACCCAGGATAACTCCCCCATTTCACTGCCCCAGGTGCTGCTCGGCACCCAACAGCAACCCACTCAGTCTACCCCTGCCTGCCCCAGGAGCCACCAGGCCGCCCACCTGTAGAAGCCGGTCTTCAGGCCGTAGTTGCGGAGGATGCGCTCTGTGAAGGCACACGTTGAGCCCTGGGAGAAGTCAGAAGCGTTAGTCATCAAGCCAGGCCTCCCCAGCAAAGGGAACCCCTGGATTGCACCCACCCTCACAGCACCACTCTAACCCTCTGCCGCCCTGCACAAGGCCTAGTCATTTCCCCTCCTGCCGCCTGCTGGCCCATCCCCTCCCAGAGCCCGGCGCCCACAAAACTCCCTCCCCCCGCATGCCCATTCCACATCCCCAACACCCCCACTCACCTTGCCCTTTGTCCCAGTCACATGGATAATGTTCAGTTGATCTAGGTCTTCGACCTGCCAGATAGAGATTAACAAGCCCACGAGGGGGAGGTCAGTGCTGGGGAGAACCTCCCTCCCCTCACTGTGCTGGCTTGGCAGAGGGCTCACAGCCAGTCCCACCGAGAGGGGAGCCTGCGCCACCCCCTCCAGCCGCCCATCCCTCCGCACGCGGCCAGGAGCAGCACTGAGGGCTCAGAGCACCCAGCTCTCACCTTTAACCCACTTCGCTCCAAGAAGCCTTTCATGGCCTCCAGCTGCACCTGGGGGTCTCCTCGCTCCCGCTTCACTTGCTCCAGGTAATTGGCGTTGGTCTGGAGGGTGTTCAGCATCCGGATGGCATCCTGGAACGAGACTCGGGTGAGGCACAGAGCGGCTCCTGCCCACGGGAGGGGTGATGGGCACCAGCACCGATGCCAAGAGCCAACATTCCAGGCCCCATGTGCACCAGAAAAGGGTCTCCTGTTCGCCCCCGAAGGAGCCCCTGGACCTACGTATGAAGCTCAGGGGCTCCCAGGCAGCCTGAGCCCACACTGCTCCCAACAGAGCCGCACAAAAAATAAGGGGCGCAAGGGACCTCCCAGGTTGTGAAGCGGCTGGGAGATCTTCAGAGGAAGCAGATCAGCAGTAATTCAGAAAATGACAGACAGCTGCCAGAGGAGGCAGGAGGCTCACGAGATCTGCTCCGGTAACCATTTCCAAAGCCCAGGGAGCGAGGTCGGAGCGTATGTCGATCACAAGACAAGCCCAGCCGGAGCACTGGTGTCCTCATGTGCTTTGGGTGCGTTCCAAGTAGGGATGTTAAATACTGGTTAACTGAATAGTCGAGTAACCTCATGAATCAGTCAACTATTCTATTTAATTTTTTACTTCTTAATTAAATTTTTATATACATTTATATTGTGTTTTAAAAATGTTGTAAGCTGCCTCAAATATTTTAAATAGCAAGGTGGGGTACATATATTTGAAATAAACAATATAAATATTCTATAGCCCTCATAGAGCCAGTGGTGCCACTGCACTCCAGCCTCTCTCCAAAGAGCCCCCTGCCACTCCACACTGCTATCTCTGCTTTAGAGGCAGCAGCTTGGGGTGCCAAGCAGGAGCTGGTCCACTAGGGGAGCCAGTTTAAAAACGAGCTCCCCTCACGGACCGGCTGCCTGTCACCCTGTGTTGCTGCCTCTGATAAAGAGGCAGCAGCCCAGAGTGGCAGCAGCCCATCACAGGGGAAGGGGTCTAAGCTCCCAGACCCAACAAGAGCCAAAACTGAGCCAGGCTGCCTGCTCACCTGGCTCCTAATACATTTTAAAAGCAGACCCACAGCAGGGGTAGGCCCAGACCCGGCACGAGCCAGAACTGAGCCGGGCTGCTGGCCAGCCTGCTAAAAAATTTACTGGTGGGGTATGGGGAAATGCGTGTAGTCTGTAGCATTAACGATAATGCTTTTGCATATTGGTTAATCGACTACACTATTACATCCCTAGTTCCAAGGGCAGTAAAATCAGCCCCCAGTCTGCATCAGAACACTAAGTGCAATGTAAGCATCACCTCTTTCCATTATTTGTACTGCCTGACAGACCAGGTCCCACTGCACTAGGCACGGTCCATATGCACGAGAGACGCTCTGCACCAAAGCGTTTCCAGTGCAAACTGAGACAGTCTGAGGTGAGAAGGGAAACAGATACAGAGTGGGCCTCGTGGCATCCCGCTGCAGAATCAGGATTAGAATCCAGTGCCCCAGTCACGAGACCCTGGTAGCAGTACCTGGAGCAGAGCATTTGAAGGGCTATAATCTCACCCACTTCCATCTGCGTCAGGGTGTTTTAAGGTCTTGGTTTTCCAAGGCCCAGAATAGCCTCTTCAAACGCTGATTAATACATTTCCCAGGGAAGGCTTCGTTCCCACATGCCTCATGCAGCGCAGCAATTTATTGGGGTTTCTTAGAAGTACTTCTGGGGGTAGACTGCAGCTCTAGCAGGGGCGGGACAGTAACCAGATACACTCCCCATAATTCGCCTCTATAAAAAGCACTAGCCACGCTCCTTCAGATGCATGTGGCTATTTATATTGGTGGACACTGTATCTCCTGGGTTTCTCAGGAGCAAAGACACTGGACATACTTTCTACCTCTCACCTTCTCTCAGCTGAACTACAGATGGAAAGAATCAGGTCCTCCCCACACTGCACTGGAACCCCTGCTCCCCCCACATCTCCAATGAGAACAGGACATCAGCCCCACAGCACTTCCTAGCTACACAGCACCTCTCGCAAATTATTATTAGGCACTATCACAATACAAGGGATTCCCATCACTGACCATTGTGCTAGGTGCTGTACAAACATTTAATGAAGAAACAGTCCCTGGCCCAGGGACCAAAACTCCCCTCCATCACTATTAATGACGACTACGGACATCAGGGCACCTAACGTACAAAACTGACACTACTCACAACTCAGGCAGGTTTTAAGATTGAGTTCCATGTGATCCTGACTCACTTCCTGCCCCAACTTCATTTAATTAGACTCCACACCCCGTTCTGTTCATGCTACAGAAGAAGCTGCATGCTCGTAAGTTGCTTGGAAAAAAATTGTAATTAAGTGTAAAAATCATGATTCCCACAGCGATGTTTAACATACCCACATCCCAGATGGCGGTAACTTTATAAGAGGAACTAAAGTAAGCGACACAGAAAACACCGCAAATCGCTAGTGGAGACATTGGATGGGTGCAGCCAGCCCTGTTAATGGTGCTTTGGAACATTATGGGATGCAACATTTCAATTCAGTTGCTTTAATATCACTTTAGCAGTGCTTTATGCATTTCATTCCTCGAAGGCCATCCGACATCTAACAGTCACCGATTTACATATATTCCGATGCCATTCTCTTGGAGAGAACATATCTCTTCAGGTTACACAGAGAAGCTCTTCGGTTTCGTGATCCTACAGAGATCTTAGATTCTACAGAGACTTTCAGTATGCAATTTTCAACTGTAACTGACAGTTCATCATTCCCTCACCCTCCAACTTAAGTCAGGGACAAACTATCTATCAGTGCCAACTGCTAACCATTTTCTATGTTAATACTCACACATAAGCAGTTGTGAATTGTGGTGAAAAAAGTGAGTATGTTATTTGTACAGAAGTGATTTCATTTAATTTGACAAAATACAGGAAGTGCACTTTGGATGCAAGCAGAGGATGGAGGAAGGACACCCCATGGAAGCAGAATGGCAGGAGCAGCTATAGAAAAGAGATGCTAAGGAAACAATGGATGGATTTCATCACAGAAGATGGTGTATAGGTGGACCTCAGAGCTGCCTTGGACAGATCAAGACAGGGATGCTTGCATGACAATCCAACCCATGCTGAGGGTTACAGGGGTGATTTCAGTTATTCAGCAGTGTCCCCAATACTTCCAAAGTTGGCTGAATCATTTCCCCCCACATACTTAAAACAAAAGGTTGGGAAGTATGGTGCCTATTGAAATCAATGGGGTCTTTTCACCGGGAAGAAAATTAAAAAAAAAAATCAATCAATGGGAAGAAAGTCTAGAAAGAACAAGTCAGGGAGATGCAAGCAGAACCCGTTAGGCGAGCTTGGCTATGAGAACCTTACCAGGAAGGGAGCCCTCGGCAGTCATGCTGTAACTAATTTTAAGTACACACAATGGCTGTATGACGCACACCACGGAAAATAAAAACCAGAATGGGCAAAGCGGGGGGAGCCGGTCACGGAGGCTTTGGCCGGAGCGACTGCAGAGGGCCAAGTCCCGAGAGAGCATCCAGCGCCATTTAGAAACAGAGCCAACCCCAGCGCGGCCCCCAGCAGCCCCGACCCGCCCGCACGTGGCTGTGCGCACAC